CTCTAAGACACACCTGAAGAAGGCTCCACGGCCGAAACGTTGTGTTCTCTTTCTTCTTTTTTTCAGCATGGAATAAACCTATTACTTATATTCAAGAGTTACAAATACCAAGAGGGACATACATTCAGTATACCATTCATTTAGACCGTTTCGTAAATGAACTTGGATTACAACTTCTACACTAGACGCTCAAAAGCAAGTACATCACTCACAGGAATTAAGTTGAAATCAACTGGGGTTGAGGTAACAATTGAATTCTCGAGCTGTAATGCAGAATGTTGAATACTCATCCAATCTGTGTGGATTCAGATCTCCTGCGGACACAAAGGAACAGTGGCAGGCTGTTGTGTCCAATCGGTGCTCTCTGGTCAGGTGCCAGGCAGTGCTGGTTCGGCGTGGGATGTGGGAGAGATTTCTGCTGCGATGCTCTAGCAGTAGGCTCTCTGAAGACCGGCTAGTTAGTGTTAGCAGAGTTTGTGCACACGGAAAAGGTGACTGCGGGTCCAAGCAGGTCACATTCTTTAGACAGGAAGACCGGTTCGTTCCTGATGTAGCGATAGTCCTGAATCCTTTGATTCAGCTGTCCACAGTTCCGACCATAGTTCACTTGATGATCAGGCGAGCGTTCGCGGTGGGTTCACGAGGCTTGCTGCTGGGATAACCTCGGTGGATCCTTTGGTTACGCGCTGACGACCTCCATTCTCGACTCTTAGAACAAAGGAAAGTCCCGGCATTCGGACACACTGGCCGTTACGTGGTTGTCCAAGCTGAGTTTGAGAAAAGTTTAGAAGGAGCCGAGTTCGTGAAATGTCCAGGAGGCGCACCGAGGGAGTCCTGTGCCGCTTGTTTTACCTGGAGGAACTACGGTCGTTCACTGGTTGAAAGTTTCATGGGCATCCGAGACCCACGTGGGGTTGTCCTGCCCTACCAGTTCCTGATTGGCTGATGATGAGGAACAATGCACTCTGACCTTAGGGTTGTAAACTTGGGATGAGACTCTCCCTTGGAATCTCCCAGACAGTAAGGCGCCAGAGATGACCATTTATTAAGGATGCTGGAGAATCTCAGCTTTGGGAGTTGTTCCTTATCAGGACACTCTTTCAGCAAGAAAAACACCTTAAATGTGAACCAAATGGACCGGCCTCTCAGTATCCAGCACCACTGAGATGAAGGAGAGAGGGACTAGCAAGGGAGCAGCAAACTTAATTCCTGTATTTTTAATAAGCCTTGCCGCTACAACTTATAGAAGAACTAAACTGTCCATTAGTTCCGGTATAATTTAAAGATACTGCATAACAGTTTCATTTTTTTTCTCCTTTATCTTCAAATAGTTAAAGAATACTTGTAAGTCTGAAGATCTCACCTGTCAATCCTGGACTTTCTCCTCTGTCATTGTACATGTTTATATCATGTTGTGCATCGAACTGCCTCTGCCTGTTAACGCCTAACCACCTCGACAACAAAACACATAATTACCCAACAAGTACCATGGTGATATCAATACCAGGTTTGGGTTTATTTATTTTCACCATAATGGCATCCTGCAAGAAAACCTCAAATCTGATTACTTAATCTGATTAAGTATCTGAATACTTACTATGGAAGCCCGTTTCCGCCAGGAAGGAAAAAAAAAACGTGCTATGGTATCTCAGAATTCCGACTTAGTATCTCAGAATTG